TAAGCTTTAAAGAGCTGCTAGTCGATACATCTCATAACTCTGATGGCTGATCTCTAAATACTGTTGAATAAAAATGTCCAAAGCCACCTCTCCTGTTGTCAGAGGAGAGACTAGCTTGCAAGCTACAAGCAAATTGTATCAAGCGGATTTGTAAAATTATGAAACTTGCTGAGTGCATATGTACAGAAACATGCTTTAAAAAACCCAAAAGTGATTTCTTTCTCCTTTGGGAGAAGTTACTTGACATAGTTCGTCTTAATTGCATTTTAAATAATTTTCTGGGACAGACTTACTTTCTTGGCTGTCCATCAGTTTAATCAGACTGGTGTTAGTCTCTTCTCTAGGTTGTTCACGTTTAGTGCTTTGCAGAGATTAAGGTCCTTCCTGTCTCTGAAGGGGGCAGGGATGGGGAGGTGGCTAGAAAAAGGGAAATGTGATGTGTTTTCCTGTCTGCTGAATACATGTTACCACTTTCACTTTAAGCATAGAAGGAATTAGTTTTTTGTTGGTAGTGTTTGAAGAGAGGGTTATTTTGTTTCTGGAAATCTAAATTGCTACAGTTGTCTGCAAAGCTTTTGCTTAACCTGATTTGCAAACGGATAGTGTTAAATTATATTGATTTTGGACAAATAGCCATATTCATGGATTACCTTTCTAGGTTGTATAGGAGATTGAGCAAACACTACTATTTTGACAGGGTGATATAACAAGTTACAATGTATGTCAGTGGAAAAATGCCACTACTTAGAGTATTTTTTCTATCGAGATGCCATCTTCTTCTGCTTGCAGTTCTATGAATTTTTAAATCCCTGCTGTAGGAGTGAGTTTAGAAGTGAGAGTGTTGCATAAGTAGGCTTGCTCTTTGAGCTGAGGAATTGTTAGTTTTGACTTGACAGGTTGAAAGAAAATGCCACCGTTGCTTTTTGCTTTGTTTTTTTTTTAATAATTTTGTCTGTATAAAAGACATTTTTTGTTTACTCTGAACAGAAGTATCACTAATGGGAAAATTCAGAGCAATTTTCAAGTAGGTTTTCGAGGAAGGGGTGTATCAAAAAGGATGTATTCACTCTACTGCAACTACTTGTCCCCATTTGCCATGCTCTGCTTCACGTTGTAGAACAATCCAATTGCTCCTGAATGAAGATGAATCAGAAGATACAGTCCAGTTCCTATTGGGCACTCAGTCCATGGCAGCAGAGTAAGCCGATCTGAACAGAGCAGCACTAGAAACGTATCTGGTTCAATTGTCAAGTCCTCAGCACCATCTGTTCCTCCTGCAAATCTGCTCCAGCCTGAGCCATGCTACCTGCTAGTGTTGGCATAGACTGAATTGTTCACTGTTAAAGAATGTAGTGTGTTGTTCTGCTTGTAGAGATTGTGGCCAGAGTTACAGAAATATGCTCTTCCTTTTCCAAAACTAGAATGAGGAAAATGTTTGCAATGTGGTAAGATTACTTACTGAAGTTGGAGTTTATTTTCGGAAGTCTCCTTTCTTTTTACCTTTAAGTTATATGCTGTTGTCAGTCCTTTTTGACTGTTGCCGTAATTCCTAAATCCCTGCAATGAGAGAGAAATTAAAGGGAGAACCTACAGAAAAATGCAAGTTATTTGTCTTACCAAAGCAGGTTATCCAGTGTTAAGAAGAGCAAAGTTAAGGGTGTTATTAATCTGAACTCTGATAGCCGTAGGTCAGTTAACAACGCTTCCCGGTGCGCTGATGTGCTCATCATGGGAGTGGTGGAAATGTGTAATTAAACTCGATACCACACGGAGTGCTGCAGCTCTCACTTTCAGGATTGCATGCTTAATATGTGTCAACGTCTTCTATGTTTAAAGCAGGGTGGGGCGGAACGGGTGGGCTCTGGGGAAGGGAAGAAGCCCTGAACAAGTAGCAAAATTCTAAAAGACCAATGCCATCTCCTAGACAGCTGGAGAAATTACTAGCTTTGATTAATACAGACCTGAGGAGCATATGAAAATGGAATAGGAATGCAGAGAACATCCACATTGCTGAAAAACGGCTAAGCAGGTCAAGAATTAAAGGGTAAAGGTACTTGATTTTTGCCTTTCAGATAAGATTCCCTTCTCATATGCAAATTGTGCGCCCAGTCTGGGAAGTGTTTAGATCTGCCTTTGTTTTTCTCTTTTAAACAGGTTTTATCCGAGAGGTGGGGATTTTTCTGCAAACAGGATTTTTGTGTGTGTTGAGAGGGTTATTGATGGCTTTGCATTGATGCAATCTTGCAATAAAAACAGTTATTTAGCTACAGGAATATTTAAGTACACTGAAGCTAACCTGTCATAGTACCAGCTTCTGCTGGTATCTACCACTTCTTGGTGCTGTAAAATTTATAAATATATTTATAATATATATTTAAATATAAATATCTATTTTATTTATAAATAACTCTCCTAAATGGTACAAGAAGCAGCAACTACATCCCTTGCTTTTGCTTGTTCCCTAGTTTGTCTCCAGTAATCAGATCACTTAAAAGTAGAAATGGTACAAAAAGCATAGAAACCTCTTGCCCTTCCTTCCATGTTTAGAGTAGTTTGTCAAGTGGCTTTTTTTAAACATGTACCAAAAATACTTCACAGCCTCTGTGAGAACACTGTTTGTTGCCTGTCACTTCTTGCCTTGAACAAAGTTACAAGAATGAATTCATGCGTCTCAGAGGGATGGGAAACACCTGGTCAGAGTTGACACCCAACAGTGCCAGTGGTTAAACACTGTATTTCTCAGGTTTATTTATTAATCAAAAACATTGGCCAAACTTTTCTATCTGCATCTGAAGACTTACCAGTTGTAGCAATAGGAAATGAGGTCTCTTGAGTTAAGTTTCTGTCATTGCTTCTGCTGTTTCCCAGTGCTCTCCCACTCTTGTAAAATGTAGCTGGTGTTTGTACTGTTACTCTTTCAGGTTTCCTGAGCTGGAGAGCTTCCTAGTCAGCCTGGTCTTTTCTCAGAGATCACTTTAAAATTTTGGCTTCTGAACAGGGACTCTTATTCCTTCTCCACCCTCCTCAGCCTACAGCCTCTTAAGTTCAATTAAAAAAAAAACCCTCATTTTCTCCTAGTCATCTGTTTGACAGCTGCTCTGTAGAAAGTTGTGAATATAAATCTTTTTTTGCAGTGACGGGGGAGTATGCAAATCTTAATTCAGAAAAGAGTTCGCTGCAAGTGCACAGGGAAAAGCTCAGTTTGAGTTGCCTGTTGATCTGTGCTCACAATACCAGGCTTGTTCACTCTGACCCTAGCAAACTCTCAAGGCTTGCTAAGTTCGTTGGGTTAAAGGAGGTAGTTGAGGTTAAGGGTTTGGAGACTGAGGTCTTTGGCAGGAGCTCTTGTAGATGTACTTTCTGATCCTCAGGAAAATGTGTGAGGTTTCTCTAGGGAGCAATTTCTTACAATAGTTGTGTTTTATTCTTCTACTGTTTCTTCTTGTATAGCATGGTAATCCTGCATTAGGTGAGCCACATTCCCTGGGGAATGCTGTCTGGTCAGTGTCTGCACCTCTGGAGAGGTTTGTAGGTGCAGAGCTCAGACTAGCAGAATCATCTCTTGGCACTATAAGGCCAGCATGAAGAGAACTGAACATGTGTGGTATTTGAATATCTTTGTTATACCAAGAAGCATATACAAGAGTGACAGGCAGTTTTGATGACGCTTATCTGCTCTTGCCTTTCTGCTCTGGAGTCTTGGGTCTGTTGCAGAAAGTCAGATTGAAGGAATTTGCATGCTATGACTCCTGTCTGAAAGCAAGGCTGTCCTGGATGGTACAGGAGAAGGAAGAACCCTACAGGAGCCAGACTTTCCATTATGTTACTGGGTTGGCTTCATGCTTTTCTTGTCATGATAACTGTTGGTACTGTTGAACAGCTCTTCCAAAAGAGAGGTGGAATACATACCTCGAGGGACTTTATAGCTGCTTGTGTGGTCAGGAAGCTGAGGCCCAAGCTGTGTTACATTCCTAGAGTGTCTCTTCCTCTGCAGTATTTGGATATGCAGGAAAACTGTGTTTTCCTGACTACCTGGGTTTAGGATCCCTAGGCAAATCTGTATTTTATGTAACAAACTTCTCCCAAGTAAAAATGCTTTTCCTTACCCTACTTGTTAAATATAGTACCCACCAAACTAATGCTTTGATATGTTATATCATAACTTGGCACAGAACTAGACTGACAAATTTGGGGAAAATTGTGAGAAGATTCTCTGGAGTGCCAGTCCACTTCTTTAACATATCCTCAGCACCAGCTGGCAGTTCTTTTCATTCCCTAGCAACTGGCTTAATTTCAGTACTGTCTTGATGAGGATAGGCATGGATGTTTTAAATGAAAGATCTCCTTTATGCTTCTAGATCTCTCTCTCTAGAAAGTATGGAGACATTGTGACACAGCCCATGCATTTATCAGGATTCTGTCCTGTTCCTGACCCTTATGTAATCTGTATGTGGTAGAAAGTCCTCCTATCACTATATATATATATATATATATATATATATGTATGTACAAAGCAATATACAATTTACATGTTCTGGAGAAGCTACTGGCATAGCTTTTTAAAGACAAAACAAGAAAGCACCTGGCAGTAGACAGCTGTGAGTGAGATATTCTTTTGGATGGGCTGCTAATTCAGCAGATTTTGATTACTGGTTTTGAATTAGAACGAGTGTGTGAGAGAATGACTAATTTTGCAATTATTTCTCTGGGGTTTTGCAGCCAAGAGCAACAGCATATGCTGGAAGCAGTACATGGCAGGAATAGTGTCTACTGTAGATTGGGTCTACATTTTTCAGAAGCAGTGAAGCTTGCATTAACTGTTTACCAGTCACTGTGGTACCTGTTTTCTGCTAAAGAATTTTTCAAATGAGATAGAAGTTGATGTCTTGAGTTGCTCCCTCACTTTCTGGAACTTGCAATTGGATAATCCTTTGTCAATCTTGTCAGGTTTGAAAGAAAACCTAACACAAAAATGCAGCCTTTGCCAGGAAATTTATACCTTCTGATTTGGGGCAGCACTGTCTCTTTTCCAGAGCTAGAACAAGCACCACCTGACCAAAACACTGGTTGGAAAGAAGGTGTTGTTGTTGATGTTTGGTTTAGTTTGAGATGTGATGTGGATTGTACTATTAACCTGCCTTCCACAGTACAAAGTTTATCTTATTGATTAGTGAGCTTATCACTTAGACATTGCTGGGACCTACGTAGTTCGTGTTATCTCTATGATACATCCTCCTGTTCTTTGATACTTGTTCAGTGAGTTGGGAAGTGAAGGCTAGAGAACAGCACTGAGAGTCTTAAGAACTTAGACCTAACTGAAGAAGGAGTCATTACTCAAGGTACCTGTTTGTTCGGTAGTGTACTGGCATCTGTATGGCACTGGCACTTGTCCTAAGCAAGGTCTAGTAGCTTTAATTTAAGGAATAGGCCAGATTTTGGCTCAAAATTGTATTGTGGTCTTGCTTATTGTGCAATTTCTTTATACCTAGATGCTGGGCTGCAGCGGTCTCTGGCAGTACTAGTTACTTACCAAATGGATGCTGTCATCAGGACACAGTAGGCTACTTAGGTTTCAGTTTTGTACAAGGCAAGGAGATCTGTGAGTGACTGAAGTCTAGCACAGGCGGTAGATTCATTAACATGCACCTGCTCTTTTGCAGATTCAGAATCTGAAAAATCATTAAGTGGGTTTGAAACAACAGCAGCCTACTCGTTAGAGGACAGCATGGATTCAAAAGATACGATAACTTCAGGCATGTCCGAAGAAAAGGTGTGTGGCAGTGGGGAGTCGCTGTCAAACGGAATCAAAAAACACAGGTAGGATGTTGTCCATTCTTAAAGTTCTATAATGTGCATTAATGGTAAGAGACCACAGGAATCTCTGAAAAGCTAAAAGAAAACTTCTAAAACTTTTCTAGGGATGGTTGACAAGTAATTGGTTGTGCTATGATTTTATAAAGACTGTTTTTCCAAGGCTGATGTGCTCCTTCGCATCTTGATGATCCAATCTGAATGAGTAAGAAACGAAATAAAATGTACTGTTTAAAAATGGGCACACTTGGTTTTTATTAGATCTTGTTGAAATCTATGTGGATTTTAATTCCTTCATTTATCTTTAATGACCTATACCTCCTATTGCCTCTTTAATTTCGAGTTATTTGATCCTTCTGTTGGTATCAGGAATGAATGAAAAATATTGCTAACCTGGCATCAGAAACTCAAATGTGAACAAAGGGAGTCTTATTCTAAAAGTCTCATCCATGTTTTATGTGCTTATTTTACGTTGTCAAATGATCCATTTTTGTTTGTTTCCTTGTGGATAAAGGAGGACAATAGGTCTGGAGTTAATGAGATGTAACAGACACCACTGTTCTCCAGTTTCAGTGAAAGGGCAATATAACATTTGTGCTACAGATAAAGCCAGACTTCAGCATGTTTCAAAGAGACTATTCTGGAAGTGTTTTGGACATCCAGGATGATGATGAGGATGCCACATTTCTGTAAAAACAGGAAAATAATATTTAATTTTACAGAAGGAAGCTAGATAGGCTTTAATTCCGTGGTATCTTAAATAGTTAAATTGCACTAACTGCTGAAGTGAATAGGTAGCATCAGACCTGACGTTTCAAGGGTCAACCTGTGCATGTCTCATAGTAGACAAAGACTGAAGCAAATGAGGGCTTGGGTGGAGTAATGGGTGTTTTGGGGAGATAAAATAAAGCAGCTGACTAAGAGTGTTGCTTTGTTCTTGTGCTGTTAGCAAGATGGTATTTATGGCCTTGGCTTAGTGCCTTCCCTAATTAGAGCAGGAAGTTCAGGAGTGGGAGGGGAAGCAGTAGATGAAGGTGGACATCGGAATTGCCTTCACTGCCTTGGAAACAGTGAGGAGAGAGGATGCAGTACATAACCAACATGAGAATGGTGGTGCATGTTGACTTGCATTGTGTTGAGGACCTTTGACAGGAATTTCTTTTCCATTTACTATAAAAAAGAAGTTACTTGGCAACTTCTTGTCATGCTGCACAGTGCTGTGAGAACTGCAGGGAGCAGGTGACTGGAGGAGCATTTCAAAGCTCCTGATTTTAAAAAGAGTAATGAAAAGTAATAAACGAGTACATCTTCTCTGAGCTGCCTGTTTTCTAGTAGTAAAGAAAGCATAGGATGTTGGAGTAAAATGGGTGCATAAATCGGCTAATAATTTACTGCTAAAGAGAAGTGGAACCTTTTTTGAATCTGCTTTGCATTTAGATAAGAATGTATGGCCATATTTTTTGTGACTAAATGGCTGTAGAATATATGGCTGTATTTTATGGCATTAAATGACTATAACAACATTTTAGGTTGAGCTCTAATGTTAGACTTTTTTACCTGGCACTTTGGTGTCATACTGGGAGTTGTCCCCAAATATATTGATGCAAACTGTTTCTCCCCAGAAGCTCAGACAATTTAAACTTTACCTCCAGGAGAACCTTCTCAGGGGATGGGAGATGTGTGGTATTTTTAGCCTCTTTTCTAAGGCTTTTGGTAGTAGCCACGTTTGGCCTGGTACAGCATCAGTTTCATGTGACTTCAGAACTGTGTTATGTGCCTGGAGCTGCTGGTAAAGTTTGTGCCTGTTTGGTCTGGGGGCTGGTTCTAACTGTGTGCATGTGGTCAAATAGCACTGTCTGTGATGCCACCTGTGTCCTTGTCAGAGCAAAAAATGCAAACTCTTGATGTTATGCAAAGTGAGGGGTTCAGAATGTTTTCACATCACTTAATTCCATCCTTACACTCTCGAGTTTGCTTACAGCTTTTCCTTTTTTAACTTCCATTTATGTTAACCACATGGAAACAAGTCACTTAGAAAATAGACCAGATTAATTTATTTTGCTTTAAATCTTGATACCTTCAGATGAGTAGAGGATCTGTGCCTTTAGGCTGCACATGAGATTACCTAACACTGTTCAGCCCACAGTTTAAATAAGATTATATCCTGTCTTCATCTAGACAGCCTGAGCTCTAATCTGCACCTCAAATATTATTTGAGTGGTTGAGAGTTTTCCACACAGAAGTGGAGGTTGATATTTGCTTGCAGGGGGGGAGCATACATGCTTTGGGTTTGGAAATGTAAGAATAAATCTGTTGGTTCCAAGGAATTAAAAGTGCTGGGAAGTACATATACAGATAGATTAAGCCAGTGCCACATATAATCTGCAGGTTTATTCTGCGGATTTTTTCCAGGTTTTTTTTTTCTCTTTTTAAATGTAGTTTGCATCCTGCTTATTGTTCACAGAGTGTCTTGAGAGTAGATTTAATTTTTTTACACTTCTTAGGAGAGGATTTGAGAGAGAGAATAGTACAGTAAATAATCAGGAATCATTCAAATCACTTATTTAAGAGGGAATTTTTTCATCTGAGCGAAACTTAAAAAATTAAAAAGGCAAGAAAACCCCCACCCCTCAAAAAACTCCAAGCAACCCCCAAAAATTCCAGTGCATAAAAATGTTCTGCATTAAGTGCCAACATTTTACATCCATTTGTCACTGCTGTTTTTCTCTTAATGCTGAATTTTGTTGTCAGCTTTCCCTTTGGTCCCTGCATTGGGGGCCTTTCAGGATGCAAACATGTTTGTGTTCAACTTCATGGGAAACAGGAGATTGTTTGTTCAGGTTGGCACAAAAAGCAAGCTAAACATGCCTTTTTCAGTCCATATGTTTCCTTCTCCACAAGATTCCTGTAGCAGTTGATGTGTAATAGCTAATGCTTTGGACAAGTGTTTTTGTTGAAGTGAAGGATCCTAAATACATCTCATCTGTTCTACTGCACAGAAATTCCAGCAGATGTTTTTGTCACTTAAAGCTAAAATTAACTTCCTGAGTTGTTTTTGGAATTGACATCTGGAGGGAAAATTTTGTATTCAAAAACCATTTGTTTAATCACAGGGAGTATGTCAAGGTTAGTAG